GCTGGTGCCCGTACCCCTCTATACAGCATAATCCCAGCCGCGTGAGGCTAGTGCCCGTACCCCTCTATACAGCATAATCCCAGCCGTGTGAGGCTAGTGCCCGTACCCCTCTATACCCCATAATCCCAGCCGTGTGAGGCTAGTGCTCGTACCCCTCTATACCCCATAATCCCAATTTGAGTTGCTTGGCGATGCTGTTGTACCTTTAGTCAAGAAGCAGGTTTGATGTGATTCAGTGATTCGCATAAGTAAAACTGAATGACGTGTATTAAAATCCTACATTTATGGATACAATGTAACTGACAAGGCAGTGGATGACAGTGCTAAGCATGTACAACAATAAGTGTGGCGAACGTTGGGTTTGTCTGTCAGGTCCTGCTGTGAGGACCTTCGCTGACCTTCGCCTGATCCCACCATGGACTCTTGGCTCTTCCTACCACCCTTACTGGTGATGCTCAAATCAGGAAAACCGGCCCTCCAGCCTTGACACAGCCTCCTGCCTGTGATTATGGGATGGATTACAATACCTGTAAGGATGCAATAATTACATCCTTCGAAATATTTAATTACTGTTTAATACGATACAAGATTGTAGCAACCCAGAAGCTGCCGGGGTTTGGACTGAGGCCGGGGAAAAGTCATCCATACATCCACCTTCCCACTGCTTATCTTCGTCAGGGGCTCAGGGAGCCTTACAGCCTATGCCAGACATCACTGGCTGGTTGGGGTACACCCTGGATGGGATGCCAGTCCATCACAGGGCACAGGGCCGGGGTACAACCTGGATGGGATGCCAGTCCATCACAGGGCACAGGGCTGGGGTACACCCTGGATGGGATGCCAGTCCATCACAGGGCAGAGGGCCGGGGTACACCCTGGATGGGATGCCAGTCCTTCACAGGGCACAGGGCTGGGGTACACCCTGGATGGGATGCCAGTCCTTCACAGGGCACAGGGCCGGGGTACACACTGGACGGGATGCCAGTCCTTCACAGGGCACAGGGCCGGGGTACACACTGGACGGGATGCCAGTCCATTACAGGGCACACACACTGAAACGCAATCATACACTGTCGTCAACTTAGAGACACCAATAAACTGCATGTTTTGGATTGTGGAAGGTAGCAGAAGTACCAAGGGACTCCACACCCCCGGGGGACTGGCAAACTCCACACACACACAGCACATGCGGGAGTCGAACCCCTGACCCTGATGGTGCGAAGCAGCAGCGCCGCCCACAGAGCCACCAGTCGCTCCCAAGATGCACCACTACCAGGTTACCATCTACAGATGCTTGGGGTAAAAATGTCTCTGTTTCTTCGCAAGAGCACATTGGGCAGGTGACACGATGAGGGTATTTCTGTTTGTCACGGTGATCAATAAGGCACTCCAATTGAGGGTGAACAGTGTGAACAAACTCAAGCTGTGAAGATGATGTAAGTGAAAAGACAACCTTCAGAACACATGAATCATCAAGACAGCGGCGATCTCCAACTACTGAACTAATTAGGCAAGGGCACCCAAATGCTGGTTCTGGGAACTTCTCCATTCATTTTAAAAACAACTCGACAGACCCGGTACCCTGATAATTTGCGTGCAGTAATGCATGAACTCCCAATAAGTCGCTATAAATCATTAACGTCCTGTTAAAACAGGGGTGGCCAATCTTATCCGCAAAGGGCCGGTGTGTGTGCAGGTTTTCGCTGCAGCTCCCTAATTAGAGGACTGATTGGCTGAAGAGTCCTCACACCTGGGTTTGAACAGCTGACCTACAGGTTATCCCAAAGACCTGCACACACACCGGCCCTTTGCGGGTGAGACTGGCCACCCCTGTGTTAAAAGGTCACTGGGAAACTCAAGGAGCCACAGCACTCCACCCAAAAGAACATGCTGAAAAGGGATCTGTTAAACCAGACAGGTCACATGTCACACCAAAGGCAGATCAGTATTTCACTGAAGTAGGTGCACAGTCTAAATGTAGTGAGATCAAGGCTGGATTTTGCAAACCCTCAGTGTCAGAACCCGGAAGCCTCAACCCTGACCCTCTCCACAAAAAGTGGAGTGAGTAATATATGAAGAATTAAGCTGAAGCTGTATATTATCACAAAAGCAAGCCAATGGGAAGAAGCCATCGTTCAAACACACCCGTAAGGTGCAGTACCCTCCACTGTGGCCAGAGGGCAGTGTGGCCCTAATTTTCACACCCATGTTTTTCTTTTAACAGAACAAAAGTCATTTCAACTCTCTGCCCTAAAACACACAAGACACTATTTAGTTAACGACATGACACAATGTTAACACGCTTGTTTTAATTTCATACAATCATTTTATATGCCCATTCATTCTTTTACACTCAGTTTGCATGTCTACCACAAGATCGGCGATTGTTTTTCACGATTTTGATCAATTTAATAGAACGAGTCAACAATCGTCAGTCTGACTTGCTTCAGGCACTGAAAACACGAAGCTTTACCCCTAAGGATGACCCTACCTCCATCATTTCGACTCATGTGCCCCCCCCAACCCCCAAATGGGGTTTGGCTCATTTAAAAAATTATTTGCAAAGTGCTCTCCATTGAAGAACATCTCATTCACCCACATAAACAAAGCAGCGTTCATTTCTGTACAAAACGCACCAGCACAGGCACTGGGCATCGTCCCCCAGCAGCAGGACGGCAAGTCCCAGCACTGGGCATCGTCTCCCAGCAGCAGGACGGCGAGTCCCAGCACTGGGCATCGTCTCCCAGCAACAGGACGGCGAGTCCCAGCACTGGGCATCGTCCCCCAGAAGCAGGACGGCGAGTCCCAGCACTGGGCATCGTCTCCCAGCAACAGGACGTCGAGTCCCAGCACTAGGCATCATCCCCCAGCAGCAGGACGGCGAGTCCCAGCACTGGGCATCGTCTCCCAGCAACAGGACGGCGAGTCCCAGCACTGGGCATCGTCTCCCAGCAGCAGGACAGCGAGTCCCAGCACTGGGCATCGTCCCCCAGCAGCAGGACGGTGAGTCCCAGCACTGGGCATCGTCCCCCAGCAGCAGGACGGCGAGTCCCAGCACTGCGCGTGACGTTAGAGCATTAATAAATTAAACCGTCAATCATTCCCAGGCTAAACGTTTGCCAGAGAACATCCATCAGATGAATGAAAAATATTTCAGCATTATTGGTGTCCACTGTGTCCGCGTCCCAGGTTCCCCTGCTGGGGAGTTGGCCGTCAAGACGTCACGCGTAGAACACCAGCTCTGGGATCTGCCCCCCCTGCACCCCAGTGCCGTTGGTACTGTCAGAGGAACACTGGAACTGGAAGGTTACCTTCCCGCACTGCACCTCCGTCATGCCCTCCTGCCCGAAGTAGCTGAGCTCATTCCCATCCAAGATGGCGCTGACTGTGTAGAAAGTGTCCTGCTCCACCTGCACCGGGTGCTCGAACCACACCGGGAAGGTGCTGCTCGACCCGTCCGACAGGAACTTAGTCAGGTTCTGGGCCAGAGTCACTCCCTGGCGCTTCAGCTCGATGCGGACGCTGTACTCGGCCTTGCCGCCGCTGGAGCCGTACAGGCCCAGGCCCGCGATGAAGATGCGCTTGTCCACAGCGAACTGGATGCTGTCACAGCGCCCCCTATAGCGCCACTGGTTGCTGCGGTAGGCTGAGGACTGGAAACGGTGGCAGCGCTGAGGCACCAAGCCCGTCCGGTGCACCAGTGGGAAGTCCAGCTTGGGCTTAATGCTGGCCGTGTACCAGAGGAAGATGTTGTGGGTCTCCTCCAGCGTGAGCACGTCCGACTGCGCCGCCCCATCGGCAAACTCCTCCAGCGTCATGGTGGGGATGCGGATCAGGTACAGCGCCCGGCCCAGCACGCTCCGCTTGTGGCGCGCGGTGACGGGCAGCCCCTGCCGCTTGCACTCCGCCGCGGCCCAGTTCAGCACGGCCTCGAAGACCACGGCCTCCTTGGTGTTGAGGGTCTCCCGCGTGAGGATGATCTCCAGGGTGGGCCGGTCGATCTCGCAGAAGCCCTCGGAGCGCAGGGCCAGTTCGGCCTGGGCGTCGATCACCTCCCAGCAGCGCTGCGTCAGCTCGGGCTCCTCGAAGAGCCGGCTCTGTGACAGCAGCACGCACGCGTTCTTGGCCTCCAGGCTGGTCTCCAGGAAGTTCACGCACGCCTTGGCCAGCGCCGGCACTATGTACTTCTTGGCGGCGTACAGGGTGGCCAGCACGGTGTCGGCCTCCAGGTCGATCTCGTCGCTGTACAGGTACCTGCGGGACAGGCGGCGCACCGGGGAGGTGGGTAGTAGGTGTGTTGTGGGGGTAAATGGACCAAAGACCATGACAAGAACTACTCTTGCACTTTGTATCATGAAAATATCGAATTGAGACATTTTTTGCCATTTTCACAGGTACATTGGAATTACTGCATGGTCAAGATGGTCTTTGGTCAAGATTAAAAAACACTAACAACAAAATACAAGACTATGACATACAGAAGATGCCTCAAGGAATATTATACAACTAAGTAAATGGAAAGATAAAAGCCAGGGCCACAGGCGTAAGGTTACCTCGAGTGCCAGAGGTACCTGGGGGTGTGATTTAAGATTCTGAGTCCAGTTTGACTATAAGATTTGGGTGGGAGTGGGGGGTAAACAAATGGAATTACTGCACTGAAATCCTACGGTAAACGAGCGAGGCAGGCGGCTTACTTGAGCAGGATGAGGAACGCGGCGGGTTCCACGTCGGGGATGTGAATTTCGGATTCGCCCTCGGCCAGGTCGCCGTAGAACATGGCGCCAAAGACAGAGCTGCCCACTGCCAGCACGTACTGAGGCGGGGAGAGGGAGGAGGTCAGACGGAGGCACGGAGGCCGAGGCGGGAGGTGGGGGAGCAGAGGTGGGGGGGCTCACCTTATGGGCAGGCACCTTCTGCGCCTCACCAGGGGCTCCCACGATGAAATGAACGTCAGCCATGAGTTCGTTGTTGAACATCAAGGCATTCCTACAGAGGCAGGAAGTTTAGAGTCAAACACCACGCTGTCCACGCCAGTCCGGCTCAAGCAGCCCGTCCGTCCGTGGGCAGAGCGGAGAAAGCCGCGCATTTACCTCTCCCGCAGCGTCGGGTGCGAGGACTGCCAGCTGCACGGCTCTACGTTGTTGTTGCTGATGTTCTGCTGGGTGGTGGTGGTCGCTGCGGCCGTCACCGTCTCTGTCACCTGTACGATGCTCTTCTTGCTCCCAGCTGCCACTATGGCAGCGCCGCTGTGAGGAAGGTTGGTGTTTGTGCTTGCAGGGTACAATTCTGCAGCCATCTTCTTCTTCAGGGACAAAGTCACGATCTCATAGCATGCTGGCAGCTTGCCGGGCCGTTTCGCACCTTTTTTAATCTTTTTCAACGTTTCTGGAAGCAAAAGTAAGAACGTCAAACACTTCATGATCCGGCCATAGAGGCAATCTGCAACCGTTGTCATTAGCTGACAATATGACCAATCACTCGAATTACTAAAAGAAAAAAAAACAGCGTAACAGACTAGACTATTAAAATCCCAGATCCTTCTACTGTCTCAAAGCGTATATCTTCCTTATTGTAAGTTGACTTTTGCAATCAAACGCACGTCCAGCATCATACAGTACAAGAAGTTCAAACAGTAAGATCCAGGTACCCGGTCGGCGAAATTATCCTGCATTTGCTGGATACTTTCTTCCTCTTTGTCATCTCATCCTTTTGCTACAGAAAGATGCGCCCGAAAACTGCGATAACATCAGGGTGGCATATAGAGAGACGCAATCCCTGTTCTCCTTTTTTTTCATGCACAAAAAAACTCCTTACAAATCTCTCAGCTGGCGCATTACGGAAGGGGGGCTCCGCTGCCGCCGTCCCACCGACGCGATGTGCCTTCTCTCGCGCAGCGGCTGTAGGATTTTCCTCCTCCCCGATATTACTGTCTGCGTCCGCCAACCAATCAGAGCGAAGGGAGCCGCGTACGTCACTGCGCAGAGGCTCCTCCCCTTGGAGGGGGGCTGCCCTGCTCCTCAACTCTCTTCCCTCGCGGAGGAATCGACCGGAGTTGCACTTCTCTCCCTGTTTACTGTTACTTCAAACCCGTATTTTTTGTCTCTTAACTGGGAAAATAAATGCAGTGTCCCCGGTCGCAAAAAAGCGCAGCAGCGAAATATAACGATCTAAGCGCGCCGTTTATCAAACAGCGCTGCACAGCCCGTGGCGTATAAAAACAGCCACTATGCAGCCGCGTCCCTTTGCCTGTTGAAGGATTTTCCCGATCACCTCTAACCTCCTGAGTTTATTAAAATGTCCGCTAGGAAAGTCAGACAGGTTTTGAACAACGCATCGCAGCTCCTCGCTGCAAGAGCTTAAAATGAAACAGTAAGGAGGAGCAGTTTTGAAACGCAAGTCCGGGATGAAGCGCTTATCTGCGTCCTGTAAACAATGTCCGAGGAACTGAGCGCCTGTTAATTACTGCGCGGTTACAATAAAACAAAACGGATTGTACTGTCATAACAAAACATTAATGTTTGCATTGTTACCAGAATTAGGGATTTTGCTGTACATCTTAATAGGATCCGAGCATAGAGATGAGTCTGTACCGGAGCTGCGTTTCTCGGACGGGCTGCGCGATCGAGGGAATGTTACCCGAACCGCGCAAATCCACGCGATTAGCGACCAACCGGGTCCCAGCGACACGGAACCTCTGAATCGCTACCTTACTGAGTAGATGGACGTCCTCCGCACGGCAAACAAAACCTTCAACTTTGCTTCGTTGGAGCCCGATCAGTGGCAGAAGCCATGTTAGATCCAGGAAGGGGGATGAGGGAGACAGGGGGCCGGGCTATCCGTGTCCTCTGAGCACCCCAGTCTCAGGCTTTCCCAACAGAGGGCTCCGTGTGCTGTGGCTTAGTGACGATATGGGCTAAGCAGCTTAGGTCCAAGCCGGGCTACGCTGCGTTCGGCCCGAGCTAGACTATATCTTATTCTATTCTGTCTTTATTTAGTTTACGCTGTTACTCAGAATTTTATCCAGTTTACGGTATGAAACTGGCCATAGAGCATTTGCGGGTTGACGGCCTCCGTCAGGGGCCCCTGATGACAACCTGCAGAGCCTGGGATTCCGATGGTTCATTTGTGAATCGTTTGTAACGTTAAAATACAGATTTTTACCCGGCCATTTAAATACTTATATTTATTATAGTGAGCAGGACATGAACTACTATCAGGCAGAGCCGCCCATAAGGAGGGAGAAAGACCCCCCCCCCCCCCCCGGCAGGTTGGACCGGCACTTAATATCAGTACTGTGTTTGGTATCTGTGATACCAGCCTTATTATTGGATCGAATCTCACACCATTTGGCCGTGACATAAACTGATACAAAAAAAGCAACTACCTGTCATAGTACTAGCTCTGCCATCCCGAGTAATAGTCATGTATAAAATGTAATATAGAATGACCATATACTTAAAATATTAGTTCAGCCATATATAAATAGAAAATTATACTGTGATGATCAGTAATAAAAAGAATACTGTAAATGGAAATTAATATTGCCTTTGACTCAGAGTTAAATCTTTGTATGCAAGACGTTTTAAAGTTAAACCTACTGAAAATAATTGTGTTTTATTGACAGTGCTCGGGAAAGGTGCTCTTCAGACGTGGTCTCAAACGACTCCTCTGGCTTCTTGCTTTTGCTCAGTTCTGCAGATTGAGTTCTAGGGTTTATTTTATACCTCTGACTGGGAATGTAGCTCTCAGCATATTTCCAAATGCAATGGTGCTGCAGATTTTTCAAAAACAGTCAAAATGCCAAGTAAACCTTTATTAATATAATAAAAATTATAATTATTAGTTAATTATATATAGTAGCTGCTTTTGTTTGTATTTCAGGGGTGAGGTGAACATAAACTTAAATGCAGCTCTGTAACTGTATTTTTTTTGCACGTTTGTATAGTATCTGTGTGAGAACTGGGACATTATGCTGCATTGATTGTGACGTCCATATCACACAGCTTTCGCGAGATCCTCGACAGCACCGTCACTGTCTCTGCAGAGGTACGGATGGATATCTCAGTGGTGTGTGTTATGCTTAAGGTTCTGCTTGTGTCATCAGAGTGATGAATATCATTATTCTGCTTCTTTTAAAAGCACGATAACATGATGACATTAAACTTCCTCTATAAAATTATACTACAGTACATAAGTTTGTTCCATTTCTAGTCACAAGAACATAAGGACTTCATTAAATATACTTTATGTTGAAAATAATTATTTTATATTTTATTTTACTCTCCAATGTGACCAAATGGATTTGGACATTAGATTCTTTTTTGTTGTAATAGAGTCTGTTACATGATTGTGACCCACCGCTCTTGATGAAGAGTGACCAGGTGACAGTTTGTTGCCATGGAGACCTAGGCTTCACTTGGCCTTGCAGTCCGTCCCCTTGGCTCCTTCTCCCCAAGAGTTCCTGATTGGTTCTCACTTTCCACCGGCTTTTAGTCACATGTCTTTGTTGTAAAGCTTGTCCTTCAACATTGAGGGGTGTAAATTACACAGTCCCACATGCCGAATTATAGTATAACAACAAGATAGTAACCTTGTAAGGACAAACACTTGGCATATTTTACATAATCTATCTACCCCTAATCCAGTAGGGGGTTGCAGCAAGCCTGCAGTCTACTGCAGTTAAAACGGGGGACACTGCAGGGCATCTGACGCCTGTCCGGCACTGGGCACACTGCAGGGCGTCTGACGCCCGTCTGGCACTGGGCACACTGCAGGGCGTCTGACGCCCGTCCGGCACAGGGCACACTGCAGGGCGTCTGACGCCCGTCCGGCCCAGGGCACACTGCAGGTATTTCACCTAAGCGTACATTTTTGGATGCCGGATGAAAGGTGGAGTAGTCAGCGAAAGCCCATGTATGTGCGAGGGTGACGTGCAAACTCCACACACAGAGGGAATCCCAGCACCCTGCAGGCACAGCGCCCGTACATAATAAACCGTCTAACTAATGCATGTGATGTTAACACGTCTGCACTTGCAGCAGTCTCAGTGAAAACACTGCGTGCTGCACTGGGCTAAGGATCCTGCGGTGATAAATGCAGCCGCATGCAGATGGTATACAGGAAGGAGAGACTTCGTACAGACCCGCACGTTTGATGGTTATTTTTTTTCTCGATAACGTCAGTGTTTGGACCGCTGTTCAGAGCATCGACACGATGTCCTTTTTCCTGGTCGGAAAGACAAACTTCCTTTTTGCGACTCTGGTTCCAGCGCCTGGTGTCACCTTACTGCCTTGTCTACTAAATGCGGCAAGTGAATAATTAATAATTCATCGTTGCTCATTTATAGGCTTGCGGGTGAGACACTTCAGACAGGGCTTCCTAATTTTCGCTGGGAATCTTTGGTGTGAAACTGCAAGGTAAATGCCAGCTCTCAGCCTGATCGGCCTAGTGGAGCCTGACCCTGGTAATATGATCCACTCCAAACAGTGATACCCATGCCTCAAAGCCTCTTGGGAAATAATGAAAACTTACAGTGCATGACCATTGCTGCTCACAGCTGCTTTTTGTGAATCTAGAATATTTTGTGATGGTACAGTGGCAAGAAGAATTCTTGAATCATTTTTGGTTAAACAGTACCTCAGATTTTTTTTCTCAGTAGAATGGTTCAGCTGGACATGCTGGGCAGTGAACTTTCCACAGAAGCCTCAGAGGCAGAAGGTCCTTTGCAGTTCCCACTTATCTTATGTCAGGTTTAATGATCAGATTGCTTACTGTTGCTGATTGGAGCACAACATAGCAGTGAAACCTTCAGATAGAGCCCCTTACCATTTTCTGAGTAGTTTGCTTGGACACCTAACAGGGCTATTAAAACTGCACTGGGCCAGCTGGGCTGAGGAGTGAGAGGCAAAAGTGTATTCTGGGAAGGGCTTCGACCTTCAGCCCCGGCAGTGGGGTTCATCACTGCAGACCCCTTAGCTCGTCATTGTGGAGAGTCTCTGTCATTCACTTCAATTCAATTCATTCTTATATAGCGCCTTTCACGACAGAGTCGTCCCAAAGCGCTTTACATGGGTGTGTTGTGATACATTAAACACCATTAGAGAGAGTAATCGGTCAAAAGTTTTCTTTATTTTACATTTCTGCTTCTTCTACCCCCTGTCTGTCTGCTCACACACTGCCCCGCCCACCCCAGCACGGATTGGTTGTCACATGCCAGCAGTGCGTACATCCCCCCCCCCCATTCAGCATGGATGTCGTTATCACTGGAAGCCGGGGCACCTGTGTATCAAGGCTTCTGTCCGTTCCTTGACAGCACAATTACCGTGAATGATTATTTATTTCGGCACCTATTTTTCAAATAACCTTTTCTTAAAAGAAGGATATGCGCGTACTGTATGCAAAAGACTTCTAGTTTTAATTAAAGGTTGAACTAAGGGGCAGCTTTAATGAGGCACTTAATCGCTGATGACAGACCCAGTATTACTCCGGCCCACACTGTGAAATGTCAGGTGGAGGACATCGCATTGACGGACAGCTCTTGTTTCTGGATGAGTTGTCTTCGTTTGATGGATTCAGAATTAAACTGACACCGGTGCTCTTCCACCAGATAATCAGTCGCAATCCCCCCCCTCCCCCCCCACCCCCAGTTTCAGCTCTGTGGGCAGAAGCAATGAATGACTCCCCCCCCACCCCTCCCTCAATTTTGCAGACGGCTGATTTGAAGTCACTGTTGTCTTAAGCTTACGGTGGATGTTTTGTATAATGAATTCATGGTTATTCTTGCAGTTGGGTCTCCGATTCCGACTCCACCCAGAGTCATACAGATCCGTCTGCATCTGCCCACTTCACCCTTAGATTCCAAGATCTTCTGGTACTTTGCAGTTAACCTCTCAGATAATTACTGTGCGAAGGGGGTTCGTGATGCCAAAACAACTGAGTTAAAAGCCACTGTTGTAACAGAAGATTATCTGGTATATCAGGTGCAGACTAAAGAAGTCTGCCTTTACGTGGATGGATGCATATTAGACCATCCTTGTACTCATTTCCTGTTGTGATATTGCATGTGACTTTGAAAATGTTAGCATATATTTTAACCACAGACCTGCATCTCTCCCAGCTGAGATGTGCCAGTTTTGCTGCAATTCTGTCATTGACACCTCCTTCCCCAAACTGACCGTGAGGCTCGACCTGTCGGGGTGCAGTCCCAGCTCCGCAGGTGCTGCAGCGCTCCAGGGGGTGGGAGGGGGCGGAGCTGCCCGCCTTTTCAGCAGTGCGTGGGTGTTGGAACGCCAGTGAGATATGATGGGCTTTTCCCCTTGGCAGAGAACGCAGTGAAAGGGCTTCAGCTCAGCTCAGGAGTTCTGAAGCTGGATTAGAGCAGGCAGGGAGCCTCACTCTGGTGTAGCATTAAATGTGGGCATTAAACAGGCTTTAATGAAAAGAAGCCCTGCATATTTACCACTGCATCACAGTGAGGTTTACCACTGCATCACAGTGAGGTTT